GTATACATACATATATGTATATATATATGTTTCAAATTATTATTAATGCCTACAAATAGTCAGACCCTTCTGCATCTCAAAGAGACAGTCCCTTCACCTACAAGAAATCTGAAGTTTGTCTGAGGACAGTAAGTGGATTTTCTTCTTTCCAAGTCTCTCTGTGTCATGTAAGATTTGAGTGTTTCACAGCACTGGTACTGTGGCAGATTTCCAAGTCTAACACAAGATACACCTAGCAGAAAAATGAATATTTTCCAAAGACTAAAGGATAAAGTATTGTGCACCAGGGAATGTACAATAACAGAAAGGGAGTGAACAATCACCTTGCCGTGCTCTTTCTCAGGAAGCAAACTGCTTTTTCATGGTTCCTTTTGGCATTTTCAAGTATTTTTTTGTGCTTTTCTTCATATTCTTTCCGAGTTTCCTTCTCTTTTCTACAAAACACAGGCAAACCAACAGTTGCGCAGGACTAAGCAAACCTTGATTCCAACACAATGACATCTAAGGGTGGGGTTGGGGGGTTTATTAATATGTGCCAGACGGAGGACATTAGTCTCTACCTTTCCCCTTCCCCACCCTGTACAGTGTCTCGTTTTCACAGAACCCATAGCCAAATTGATAAGGGGTGTCATAGTGTCTGCTTTCTTTCCAAGAAATCCCAGTGAACCTGATCATCAGTTCAGAAGGTCCTGGCAGCCAACAGCAATGCAGACACACAGTCAGTCTGATCTAATAAACTTCATTTCCTTCGACAAAAAGCTTTCACAGTTTGTCTTTAGCAGATTTATCTTCATAGCTCAGAAGTCTTTACCTGCACAACTGCAAGACTATGGGCAATTCTTATTTTAATTCCATTTCCTCATAAAATGTTCCTGAAGCAACACCCAGCTAAGAAACACAATACCAGTAGCTATTTGAATTAACTAATCTTCTCAACACCGGAAATAGTGAATTGGGTAAAAATAATGCAGAGAAAGGAAGCAGAGTCTGTCTTCTAGGCACTTACTTTGCTCTAGACTGCTGATTTTTTTCTGCTTGCAGTGCTGCTATTTTTGCCACCCGAATCCGCACTTCTGCTTGTTCTTGGTATTTCATCTCTAGCTCCTCCTCATCTTTTTTAAGTTGTTCGTGGAGGGTTTCATATTTCCCCTGCTCAGTTTCTATGTGCCACATCTCAAGCCTTTAAAACAAAGTGTGAGCTGTTTTCACTGAAATGCTGACTTTTTTCCATTTACTTCAGGCTCCTGAGTAGGTAAAGGCCAGAGAGAACGAAAATCTAGCCATGTTTTATTTTATCTTTTTCAATTATGTCGTAATCATACCCTGTTACTGACACAGGTATTGTACCTTTCAGACCAAGGCTCCTATCTAATACTATATTTCATTTTAAAGACATCAAAAATATCAATCAAAAAAAAAAAGTAGTAAAAAAAAGCTCAAGCTTCTGTTTTTCAAGTTAACATTAGAAAATAAGAAAAATAGCTTTTCTTCAACAGTAAATAACTTCAGGGAAAGGCCATAGCTTTTATTCTTCTATGCTTTGCTGAAGGAATTGAGATATGATAGGGACAGATGTAAACAGATTAACAGTTATTCCTAATCACACAATAAAGAGCTCAAGCATTTTAAAGCTATTATACAACGCTGCAGAACATTCTGTATTCTGGTTCACCACTTGGTTAAGCACATTTGTAAGCTGGTTGCTTGTGTTCCTCCTTTGATGAAGGGGCATTAGTAGTACCACCTCTGGTGCCAAAATATAAACACACTCACCTATTGCCTTCTGCAAGACAGTTTTATTCTATATGAGTTATTTAGTATGTCCAACTAAAGAGCAATATTAGCTTAGCATAAACATACACACGACCACTACAATGTCTCCATCATTCTCTATTTCCTTATGCCCTGTAAAGGAAGTATTAATGCTTAGAAATCAGTATCACAGGCAGGTTTACTTTAGTCCAGCTCAGTTTCCATTTTTAAAATGAGACCTGTTTAGGTCCACATTTTACGCATAACCCCAAATAAAATGAAAACTTCATCTATGTGTGCAAAACCAACTCAGGGGCTAAGACACAGCAACCCACTTCCTAAGCAATGGACTGCTCAGGCTACAGATTGCTCTCAAGGTCATTTGTCTTGCAGCCAACCTCACATGACCTCAAATGATGTACCTCAATATTTACAAACAACTCCTGCAGTGATTTACTTTTGAATCTATTAAACAGCATATGAAGAACATAATAAAGATTACGTCCCATCACACTGTCTTCTCATTCCCCCACTTACATGTCGTTTTTTATTGTCAAAGCAATTTTCAACTCCAAATCCTTCTCTTGCTCCAGTTCAATGCACAGTCGCCTGCGCACTGCCTGAAGGGAGGACAAGGCTGCACTGTTAACATTACAAAGAAACAATCAGCAAGAAACTGGAACTAATAAAGGTTAAAAAAATAATACATCCCCCTCCCAAGATCAACAACAATGGAAAATAGCTTTAAGGCTGAGATTATGTATTAGAATCCCTCTAATTTATGCAGTTTCTATTTAGCCTTCTAAGTGTCTGTTCTTCATTCAAAAGTGAACTTTCTTTAAACCATTACATGTTGGTTGAAATGTATAGAGGAGGATTGGTTTCAAAAGCACGGACCCGTAACTTGATAGACTATTAATTTCTCAGTAGTAAAAGTACTAATATTAATGAAAATAAGTTCAGGTGAATCTGGAGAAGTTTGACTGATTTTGCTTTTAAAAAGGTATTACAATATTCCACTTATTTCTCTTACAATGGCAGCATTGTCACACAGTTGTTTATCATCCTTGGTGTTCTCTATCCAGGAAAACCAGTAGACAGTGTACTACATAATCAACAGTGAACTATGTTCAACATAAACTCCCTTCTCTAAATTAACATTGGAAACTGATCTTCTACTTGAAGTTAGTACTTGAACTTCAGAGTTTTTGTTCTGGGCACCAGTGATACTAATGGCAGCTGGAATTTTCTTTATTGCTAAAACATGATGCCTTTGAGCTGCATAAGCCAGGAATGTATCAAGTTTTTTTACTCCACTATTCACTTGCTAAATGTAATAGACTGTGACAATCGTTATTTTTCTGCATATCTAGACTTTGCAATTTGACCCATCATAAGCATAAGAACTACAATGCTTATCTGTCTTTGTTAGTTGTTGTTACTAAGACCATCTGAACAGGGAGTACCTATCAAAGAAGTTTATTAGCCAATCTGTAAGCAGCTATTCCATTTTGGTAGTTAACCCACCTTTATAACTCTGTCATTCACCAATATACTAACTTGAAGATTAACACAGGTCATGAAATGCAGCCGTGAAGTTTGTTCACAATACACTGGTGCCTGGTACACAGGCCACCCACTTCTTTCTATTTAAACCAAACGTGAAGAGCACAGTGAATTGCCTCCCACTTTATAGCAGAAGTGTCTCAGCACAGCTCCTGTATGCAGAACTACTCCTGAGAGGCAGGCATGCATTTCACAAGATCAAACAAACATACAAACCAAGCAAAGAAATGGCAGAGAGATATATATAAATCCTGATTGGAGTAATTGCCAGAAGCAAAACCATGACCTCTGAAATTTGCCATAGCATACTGGTGTTGGTTCGTCACATTGAACAGAAGTGATTGTGACCCTGATAAATGTTAATTGACAGAAGTGGGCTAGGCTGATTTAAAAACCTCTTGGTTTTATATTTTAAAATATATGCCTCTTTCCTATCCATTCCTATTTTTCTGCATTGATTTACCCAACAGAATATTACCTCTAGCCCAGAAAGCCTAGAGATTAATGATTCCCAACCCAATGCACCATTATTCATTAATTCCACACAGATAAGCCTAGTGAATGCCCGTAATTTTTGGTATCCAGAAATACTCTCTACCTACACACTGCCAGCCTCCTCCTCTTTCTCTATTTCAGTGCCTACATAATCCAGCTGCTTTGCTAGCATCTTGATCCGCAGTTGACAGGTACTCAGCTTGTCTCTGCAAGATAAAAAATGGATTATTCATATTTGGTAAGTTCTTTACTCTTCCTGATGGAACTCTTCCTTTTGGGAGCAAGATTCACAGGTAGGATTCCTTCGAGTCCCCAACTCCCCACCCCCCCACCTTTTCTTTTAAGATCTTACTCTGAGATTCTTCAGAAGCCCTTGTTAACATCAAACATTTTCTCCAAAACTCCAGAAAAATGTAACAAGAGTGTTTTCTGACTTCATCCATAGTTCAGATATTACCAAAAAAGACAACAGCATAAACAGCATCTTCTTACATCAGCCTTCTTCAGATATATTTGTTGCTCAAGAACACCTTTGTGACCTTAACATAGCAAAACACTCATTTTTAAGTGCTTCACTGATTCTAATGCATCATTTCCATCACTAAGAAAATGTTTACAATGAATTTTCCACTTGACATTTCCTGCCGACTGTTGAACCAGCAGGATTGTGCAGACATCTAATTCACATCTAATTCTCCCAGACCAAACACCTCCTCTTCGACATTCATTTCTGTATTTCATTTTTTCAAGTACATAATTAAATTTTATCCTTGATCCTTAATTTGTTACAAGGGTTTGGGGATACATTGAATATATTATATTAAACAAGTGTTTGCATCACATTACTGTCCTGAAAAGAATCTATAAACTCTAACATTTTTAAGAGACGCAGTATCCCAGCAGTGAATGGTGATTTATGCTGATGGATTATGTTTGCTTAAACACTAACCTGTGTTTTTGGATCTCCCATTCCTTTTTTCTGGCTATGTCATTGAGCTCTTTAAGGTTCCTCTGTAAGCGCAGTAAGCAAACTCTATCTTTATGCTTCATGGCCTGAATATTATTAATGTCACCCAAACTGTGTTCCAAGATTTCCCTTTGAATTGAAGCACATGAAAACATGAGAAACAGAAAAGTTACATGAAATTTGTACATCATCCACTTACACATCTGAGGGTTGTTTTCTCTTTTACTCTTAGGCTAGCAGAACAGTTACAAATATAACCAGTATAAACAAGGAAAAAATGAACATAATCTGTACAAGTTTATCTAAATGCACTTAACCCAAGATTTTTAGACTTGGGTATCTAATGTTGAACATTTAGACCCACACATAATGTATTATATGTCTTGGTTTTGAAATGCCTGTGGCTCCTCTTGGTTACACCTCGGTTTGCAGATTCTACTTTTCCTGAACAATAGTTTTAAACATTCAAGGGAACATTCTAAACTATTTTAAAACATTATATACAGCTGATGCGTTTGTGGGTGAGCAAATCTCTTACCATTTTGATCTGCTTAAACATATACCAGGAAGAGGTCTGAAGGTTTGGGAGCTTTTACATCATTTTGGTGTATTTGAATTTCTCTGTTGATAATGGTAACACTGTCAACATTTACTGGAGTAGGTATATGTGCTACACAGCTTCCCACATATATATATTAATAACCATTACTGGAGCTTTTCATCGTGCCAGGTCATTCCAGGGCAAAGATTAAGAGTCTTTCGAAGCAAGCCAAAACAGGGACTCATCTTTGTGAAGAGAGAAACAACTACTTAAGGCCACGTTCAAACCACTAAATTCCTGTTTGTTCATGACCTCCATAACATGTGAGTTTATTACTTCAGGAATAAATCCACTGTATCACCTAATTTGTCATGGTTTAAGCCCAGCCGGTAACCCAGAACCATGCAGCCGCTCGCTCACTCCCCCCCCCCCTCCTTCTTTTTCCCCCCGCTGCTCCTGGGGGGGG